AAAAAAGGAAATGTAGCAGCGATGGTACCTTGGTGTCGATAGCTTTGTAAACGACACCGTATGTGCCTTCACCGAGGACCTCGCGTTTCAGGTAACGATCGGCAACTTTCTTGGACAACAGCTGAACCTCGTCCATTCTCCTTTTTCCTGTTTACGAACTGAAAAGCGCCGTCATTCAGAGGAACCGGGGCCGGTACGAGTTTTCACGCAAAAGGGCTCACGTATAGTTGGTGACATTAACGTTATTTTGTGAGCTTATGAAGCTGAGATACGGGGTGGAGTAGATATGACTCTTTGAGTGGACAGATACGATTGGGAACGGCGGAGGTAGGAGCGTACGGCGTTTCCACGCGGCGGCGAAAAAGTCAAGGTTTCAAACGATTAGAAAGAGGAGATGTGTTTTATTACGTTGATTAATAACTGTTAAAGTATTATTAGACTCCATTTTGAGTTAATTGCTTTAGCACCTATGTAGCATAATACTCATTGACATGTTAAGGACATTTAGGGCGTGTTTGCATATAAATATATCCCCTCAAACTCAGTTTTTCTTATTAATCAGATTTAATTTTGAAAAAAGTGATATAATTAGTTGTTAGTAAAATTTTAATTTTATATTAAAATAATATTTAAATTAAAATAATTAAAGTTGATTTGATGTAAAAGTATGAGAAAGATAAAGTGAAGTGATGGTTAGGTAAAATTATATGAGTGGATGAATAATAAATTAAAGTTGATGTGATGTATACAAATTATTAGTTGATGTTATTTAATTATATTGATAATATTGAAGATAATGAAATTGAGTTAAAGTTGAGTTAGATTTTGAGTATGAATTTAATATGGATTGAGATTTTTGAGTATGAATTATATTGATAATATTAAGGATAATGAAATTGAGTTAAAATGAAGAACCTCACTTGTCTCTACTTCACGTATATGAGGTCTGTGTTTCTGTCTCACAATGATGGACAAAGTCGAGTTCCCATCCAAGTTCTTTCAAAATTTGATGAATGGGTCATTCCTGTTAAACACAATGATGGAAACAAACTACCAGATTTGTAAAAGATTTATTTGAGAAAAGAGATAAACTTGTTGTGGGAAAAAAATAAATGACGGGGTAAAAAATCTTGTCAAAAATATTGTAATATAGCCCATTTTGATCATTAGAAAAACCATGTTTGTGTAGAATGCTCAAACAAAAAGGGTCTGTAATTCGGAAAAAAAGGTTTTTGTCCAAATGTTGATAGAAGGAGGCTCGGAGACAGAGAAGAAAAGCCACACAAGAGCGGACCAACGAAAAAAAGATTTCTCGACTAGAGTTAGTGCGGCATGTGAAGGACGAGAGACCGTTTTTTTTTTTCTGAAAGAATAGTGGGACAAAGAAGAGGTGATGGAGAGAAACTTTGCATAAAGAAAAATATAAGGCATGTGACGAAGTCTCCATTATTAACGGGATTCTTAGCGTAGAGTGATACTCAGCACGTGAAGCAAGAAGACACCCACTAAAAGTGGACAATTGTAATACAAGAAGAGTGAGGAGCTGAGCATGTAGATCCCATTTCGCTTTTGTATGTCGTATGACGGTCGTTGGAACATCAATTTTGATTTATAAATTTATATTTATCCATAACAAAATAATAATAATACAAGAAGAGGGTTCACAATAAGTCGACGAACTGATAATAGAGATCTTGAAACTCATATAAATAAATAACAGAAAAATAAAATAGACATGAAAATTCACTTTTTACTTATTAAAAAAAGACATTAGTCTTGCTATTTATTAAAACCTTAAATTACCAATTTAGAAATTTTACCCTTATCATTTAAAAAAAAAACTAAAACTGAAAATTGGTGCAGGCACTCATGTGAGGGCACTGCTTGTAGGAGTAAAATTGAATCGTTTCCTCACATTAAAATGGTCCCAAATATATGGTCAAGAAACAGCAGGTCGGATCAATTCGATTTTTGTACATGAAATAGTTATAATATTTAAAACTACTTTAATATAAAATACATATATCTATATGTTTTAAATATGTGTAAAATATTACATAAGGTATTCATATATTTTTAACTATCTACATATTTAACTAATATTATTTGTCTATATAAATTTTACTATTTATAATATTATAAGTTTTGAAAAATATTAATAAATATCGGTCTAACCATTAAACTACTAGTACTACTTCCACCTTTACATAAATTGGTTAGATTTTAAAAATCTTGTCATAAAGCCAAACACTCCCTTAGCAACACAAGTCACCGTGTATGAGTAATGTTAATTTTTCCCCCTTTTAGCGAAAATTGGATCAAAGCTCGCGCGTGAGCTGCACTTCCATTCCAGCCAGGAGGTTTCCGGCCAAATTCCACCATCTCCACCGCGCTTCTGAGCCGTTCAGTTCCCCGATCACCGCCCTTTCTCTGGCGAGCATGCACCCGCAGGACATTACGCGAAGATACTGATTACTGAGACAGCCAAAAACCCCGAATCGAAATAAATGTCGGGCCCTTCCTTGATGGACTCCCTCTTCCAGCGCTCGGTCGACGACGTAATCAAGGGCATCCGCCTCAGCCCGCCGGGCGCAGAGCCCGCCGTCATCGCCCGATCCCTCGACGAGATCCGCCGCGAGATCAAGTCGACCGACCCGGAGACGAAGGCCGTCGCCCTCCACAAGCTCGCGTACCTCCACTCCCTCCACGGCGCGGACATGTCCTGGGCCGCCTTCCACGCCGTAGAGCTCTCCTCCTCCGCCGCCCACCACCAGAAGCGCGTCGCCTACCTCGCCGCCTCCCTCTCCTTCGATCCCTCCACTACCCAGGTCATCCTCCTCCTCACCCACCAGCTCCGGAAGGATCTCTCGTCCTCCAATGTCCACGACGTCAGCCTAGCTCTCTCCACCCTCTCCTCCATCTGTAACCCCGATCTGGCCCGGGATCTGACGCCGGAGGTCTTCGCGCTGCTTGGTAGTAGCAAGCTTTTCGTGAGGAAGAAGGCGTTGGCTGCGGTTCTGAGGGTTTTTGAACAGTACCCGGACGCTGTGCGCGTATGTTTTAAAAGAGTTGTTGAGAATCTAGAGAATGCTGACATGGGGATTTTGTCTGCAGTTGTGGGATTGTTCTGTGAGCTCACTGAAAAAGAGCCAAGATCCTACTTGCCGCTAGCTCCCGAGTTTTATAAGATTTTGGTGGACTGTAGAAATAACTGGGTGTTGATTAAGGTACTTAAAATTTTTGCTAAGTTGGCTCCACTGGAACCGAGGTTGGCCAAGAGGGTTGTGGAGCCCATCTGTGAGCACATGGGAAGGACGGGTGCTAAATCGTTAGCGTTTGAATGTGTGAGGACAATCGTCACTAGTTTGAGTGAGTACGATTCTGCAGTTAAGCTTGCAGTGGGGAAAGTGCGGGAGTTTTTGTTAGAAGATGATCCCAACCTTAAATATCTTGGGCTGCAAGCACTAGCCATCGTTTCAGACACGAATGTGTGGGCCGTTTTGGAGAACAAGGATTTGGTGGTTAAGGCCTTGAGCGATGTTGATGAGAATATTAAACTTGAGGCCCTACGGCTTGTGATGTGTATGGTCTCTGAGGATAACGTCATGGAAATCTGTAGGATTTTGATCAGTCAGGCACTTAAGTCTGACCCCAAGTTCTGTAACGAGATTCTGGATTTCATTCTGCGGACTTGCTCGAGGAATTTATATGAGGTAGTTTATGATTTTGATTGGTATGTGTCATTTCTTGGTGATATGGCGAGGGTTCCACATTGCCAGAAGGGGAGCGAAATCGAGGACCAACTTGTTGATATTGGCATAAGGGTTAAGGATGCCAGATTTCAGCTTGTTCAGGTTGCTCGTGATCTGGTGATTGACCCTGCATTACTCGGGAACCCATTTATACATGGAGTATTGGCGGCTGCTGCCTGGATTTCGGGAGAGTACGTCGAGCTTTCAAGAAACCCATTTGAGATCACGGAAGCTTTATTACAGCCACGGACAAGTCTCCTTACTCCATCAGTAAGAGCTGTATATATTCAGTCTGTATTTAAAGTACTAGTGTTCTGTCTGAATTCGTATCTCAAGTTAGATGGAGATGACTCTGCATCTTCATTGCCCTCTGTGCCAGCATATTCAGACTTGAAAGAAGATAATGAGGGGGATTTTGAAACAGTAGCAACTCAGTCATTACCCTATGGTCCTGACCTAGATAATCCGAATATGGTTGTTCAGAATGGAAAGGATCCATCATCTTCAAGAACACAGCATCTTTCTCTAGAATCTCTTATGGTTCTAATTAATCTGATAGAAACTAATTTGGGGCCCTTGGCTGGTAGTAATGAAGTTGAAGTACAAGAGAGGGCGAGCAATGCCCTAGGATTGATTAAGTTGATTAAACCGATATTGCTTGACCAAAGAGAAGTTGATACAGTTGGCGAAGGACTGAAGCATATTGAAGTGGTAGAGCTGATTTTTGGTGCATTTTCAAAGGATCTTGGTCCAGTTTCATCTAATGCCCAAGAGAGGGTACCTGTACCTGATGGGTTGGTACTAAAAGAAAATCTTCATGATTTGGATGATATATGTGGTGAAACTCAGTTGCCTTTATCAACTTCCTTCTCCCTAGTCAAACATCCGATGGTAGAGGTTCCTACCCATCCAATACACACGAGCAAGGAAGAATTTGAACCTTCAAGTGAGTCCACATCTTTACTTGCAGAGCACAGGAAGCGGCATGGCCTGTATTACCTTCCTTCAGAAAAAGCAGGGACAACATCCAATGATTATCCACCTGCTCACGACCCTAAAGAGACGGTTACTGATGAAGATCTTGTGAAGTTAACAGAACAATCACTTGTCCTTAGGAAAAAGCCAAATCAAGCCAAGCCTCGGCCTGTGGTTGTGAAATTGGATGATGTGGAAGGATTTAATGTTGTGGCCAAGACTCCTGAGTTCAAGGCTGATCTGATTTCCGGTGCTGTACAAGAAGTGCTTTTAGGTAATGAAGCTACAACATCAACATCAAGAAGGAAGTCTTCTAACAGGTCAAGTAAGAGGAGGGTGGCCAACGACTTAAATGTTGGGGTATCTGAACCGAAAAACGAAACAGCGAAGGCAAATGTATCGGAGATCGATATTCCTGGTTCAGGAAGAAGAAAGCGCCATGGTCATGGTACAGAGAGGAAAAATCGGAATTCTGGAAAGGATAAAGAACATGAAAACAAAGACAAGCAGAAGAGTGAGCATGCACATGGTAAACACAGGTCGCGACACAGAGCAGATGGAGCATTAGCAGCTCAATCACCAGTCATTCCGGATTTTCTCTTATAGCAATGTTTAGTACACCACTTGTCCAAAATTTTAAGGTCAGTTTTGTGGTCAATTTCTGCTTTTTTCCTGCTGTATGTGGTTGTAATACATTCTTTTGATTTCACATCTGAATACATGGTTTGTTTAGTTTTGCCCGTTATTGCTTGGGAGATGATGCGCTTTAGTTTGTAATCTTACTGTGCGTAAGAAATGGACGAAAGAATCACTTGAGGCTGAATACATTGAAGCGTTTATTTTTCTATTGTTATATTTTACTTACTGAATGGATCTAAAGTGTTTTGAGTTGACGTAAATATACCATATTTCGGCCCTTACACTTCTCTTTCTACTTTCACTTTACGTCTGAATATAACCAATGCATTATAATGATGTTTCTGATGATTTATTTATGAAGTTCTGTGAACATAACCTAACATCTCACACTATTCGGCTCTTTCTAGACCTGTAGTTTACAGTAAAGTGAACTGGAGTTGAATGAGAGATCATTCTAATGCGATATATGAGTGTAAGAAATCAGCATATATAAAAACTGCTGGAATTCAGCTTCTTGATGATTGTTGCAATTAAATATTGGTAGTAGCAGAGTCAATGTCGGTGAATGCCTGGTCGCTGGCGCTTATTAAACATTTTTTACTTTACCATTCAGTATATATCTCGGCTGACTGCTGGGAGACTTGAGAGAATATTAGGCGGATCTCATTCTCAAGGGTTCTCTTTGACTTGGTTACAATTTTGTGCTGTTGGTAACGATACCTTGTGAAGCATGCGAGAGGCCATATTTTCTGGCGTTTGAAATCCACACCTTTCGTTCCTTATTGAAGTAGTTGAAATATTGACCAAATTTCTATATCTTCTGTTAGTAGTTGAGGAAAAGAAACAAGATATATATTGTTACTTATCCATTCTCTCTCTTCTCTCTCTCTCTCACAGCCATTAACAGAGCTTCTGAACCATGAGTAAGGTGGTCTCTGTGCACTTTATGATCTTTGATACCCAACATTATAAGTATATTTTCGAACTCATTCCAAGGCTTTATGATATGCACATTTGCTTATTCCCCTCCTTTATGCCGGGAATAATATTCGTCTGAATGTTATGTGCACTATGTGGCAGGTTTCTGTTTATGTAGCATGTTGTAGATTGTCAAACTGTTTACTGTCATAATACATAGGCACCGATGCGCGTGAGCTATGTTGCAGATCAACATAAGTTATGGAGTTACAGATCAGGTTTCTCTTTTCCGTTTTTTTTTTTTTTCNTTTTTTTTTTTTTTCCTTCTTTTTCCTTTTGGTTGTTGCTTGTGTTGTACAAATTATACTGCAAACTTTCAAATTTTGTGATGAATGTAAAGGCCCTGATACAACTCCTGGATTTTTTCTTTTCTTTTCTTTGTAAATAGTATGATATTGCTTAATGGATATCCGGTTTGATCCCCCAATGAATGTAATTTGTTTCGTGCATACTCAACAGTAAAAGGACACTTCTCGTACATATGAATGCATTGTTGATTTCTCTCTCCTCGAAAAAACAAAATCCCCAAATCTCCTTGCCCTAGATCCGCGATTGTCCGCCTTCTCCGGCGGGACGCCGGCCGTTTCGACGGTAGCTCACCCATGGCTGCACGGCTCTCTCTCGGTGGTGTCGTTGTTCGTTCACTCGAGCCGGTGGGGTGGGGGACGGTCCAAGAGGTTTCGCCATCTTTCTCGGTCGCCTCTTCGGGCTGGTGGTCCGTCAATCTCTTGGATGGCGAAGTTGTGGAGGACGACGGTGTTTCTGATGGGAAGGGTTGTGGCTCCGACGGCCGGATTGTGGGGGCCGGTCGGAGTAGAGGAGATTTGACTCTTCCCCTGTTTTCCTTTGGCCTATGGTGTGCGGGTCGAGGGTGCTGCTGGCGCGACGAGCCCTGTTCAGTGGTGTGGGCAGAGCTCGGGACGAAGGTGGTGAGATGGGGTTTGGTTCAGTTTCCTCCGGCTGAGGGTGGGTTCGGCTGCTCGGGGGCAGGGTCGAGTTCTAGTGTCTAACTCCAGTTAGGTGCGTAAGTTTCAGTTTCTGGTGTTGGGGTCTGGGGCGAGCTCCGGTCCGTATGGGTGGTCGGCCATTGGTATTATTGTCGTCATTGCTTGGCGTGTTTCCGGCCGTGAGAAGGGCTTTATCTTATTTCTTTGTGTTTGTGTTTTGTGGTGTTCTGTTATTGTTTGTTGTGTTTGTTTGTGAACTGTGCTTTGTTTTCTTCTCCTTTAGAGGAGCGTATTATTCTCCTGTGGGGAGTTAGGGTCATTCTCCTGTGGGGAGCCTTTATTTTTTTTATTGTGTTGTAGTGTGTGTTGTGGTATCTGGACTGGCCTCCATGAGCAGTTCCTATTCCGATTATCAATCGGTTGTAATTATGTGTTTTTCGTTAATGAATCTATCGTTTCGAAAAAAAAAAAAAAAATGCATTGTTGATTTATTTATTTATTTTAAATCTATAGATCTAAAACAACTTTGAGTGAGCATCAGAGCATCCAAGTTTGTCAGAATATTCATTAACCAAACTTGTCTTGCATTTGGTTAGTCATGGAAAAAGAACCAACATTTTTAGGTCACGTAGTTTTCTAACAGTTGATTGATTTTTGTATGAAACTTCACTTAGGTGTCCAGTGTCAACTAAGCTCACCCAAGTCAAACTTCACTCAAGTACCGATTAATGGAATTTTATTTAGGTGTCGATTGGACTAACCTTTTCAACTGAGTAAGATTACACCAAGTTTAGTTTCAGTTGAGTAAGATTGAACCTGAAATTCAGCTCCATGTGTTATCAATGTATTTTATGCTAACTCTTAACACATATCTTTTCTTTTTCAAGTGAGTTGAGTGAGGCACTCCTTTAATAAGGAAGCACATATTCACATTAGACCCCATTAATGACCTAGAGTAACTTTTTTTTTTAACCTCGAGTAACATTCATAATCACAAGTTAAATCACCGGATTACCGAATTAATTATTGAATTGAGTAACTAATTTATAAAAAAAATCAAATTACATATAATATTCTTATTCTACAAGCATAAATAAAAATAACGAAAATTTACTTGCAAATTCTATACCTAAAATTATTAGTAATATTGTATCACGTTATAAATATTTATAATATAAAAACATATAATTTTATTTTTAAAATTAAAAATTTTATTAAAGAAAACACATTGGTCGGCCCAATGCCTGATGTTTTGACCGGATATGTTTGCTCGCTGACCGTTCTGACTTCTGAATGACCCGCTCGAACCAGTTCGAGTTGGGGTCGAATAAAAAAAATACTTATTCACATATTTAAAACTAGANAAAGGAAAAGTAAAAAGGAAAATATGGCTGAGAAAAAAACAAGGACGCCAGTCACGCCACGTTACCCGAAACGTAATTCAAAAACTGTTTCCCCAAACACGACATAGAAATCACTCGATCGTCATTTGACCTCCATTGCTATACTCTCTCGAGCGGGGATCCGAGGAAGAGAGCGATCCACCATTCTCCGATTGGAGCTGAAAAGGAGAATCCACAGAGAGATGGGTTGCTCCTTCTCCGGATTGAACGCCATTTACGACGCCGTCAACGGCGCCGGCGACGTCTGGATCAACGAGAACCGTTTCAGGATCGTGAGGCAGCTCGGTGAGGGCGGGTTCGCCTACGTGTACCTGGTGAAGGAGCTTCTACCCGATCCTTCGAACCCTTCCAATGGCATTGCCGCCAAAATCAAGGACCCGACTCACGTCTCCGGTAACTTTTTTGTTTAGTTTTTTTTTTTTTTCGTGANTTTTTTTTTTTTCGTGATTCGCCGTTTTTGTTTTAGTTTGGGTTGAATTTCGTTTTCTGTTGGTGTGTCTGAATTTCGTGTCGGTGCGGATTAGATTACCAAAAAAGTCTGAGGAGGATCTAGTTGAAGTTTCTTCAATATGGATTGGTGAACGGTTGATTGTAGTTCGATTATCCCAATGGTTGAATCTGAAGAATTGGAATTTGTATAGTTTCAACGGATTGAGATGAGACTTCGGATGACGAATTTTTGCTGGTTGGTTGGAATTGCTCCGGTGTAGGATGAATTGTGTAAATAACTGATTGAAATGATTTTTGTGTGGTTGACGGAAGCTGCTGATTTGAGGGGGAAATGATTACTTGTTAAGTATAGAGTGAAAGTATTTTGATGTTTGAAGAATAGAAATGAATTATGGTTGAATGGAGAACTAACTAGAACTGAAGTCTCATTTTAGTTATAGAAGTTGAATGGCAGAGCAATAGAATAATTTAAAATATGTTGGAAAATGAAGTTGAAAATAGTGTACAGTTGATTGCTTACCTTGACGTCAGCTTTGCTTTCAAAATGTTCAACTTCTGAAGATAAGAGTGGTTGGGAGAGGAAAGAATTTTCAACGCGAGAAACATTGCTTTTGTGAACGTGATTTTTTTCCCAAATTTGGGTAGTGTCTGGCATGTTTAACAGATTTGACCTAACTTGTGCTCTGTTTATGTGCCTGGCTTCATGTAGGTGATGGAACTTATGCTATGAAGAAAGTTCTCATTCAAAACTGTGAGCAATTGGAGTTGGTGAGGGAGGAAATTCGTGTTTCATCTCAGTTTAGCCATCCTAATTTACTTCCTCTTCTTGATCATGCAATCATTGAAGTCAAGGTAATTATTCTTTTAAATTTTATAGAGAAGGCTGCAGAATATGAACTTTATGAGTCACTATATTCTGAACAAGAGTACTGCACATGGGTGGCCATATCTCTGTAGAAGTGCCTCATGTTTGCTATGCTGTAGGAGGAAAATTATGTTAAGAAAAGTTTGATTTTACTGGATAGCAGGTTCCTAAATGTGAGTTGCAATATTTTGTTAGAAGTATATTGTTGGTGGTCAGAATTGGATTTTCCTGGTCTAGTCATGTAAAAATGTGTAATAGAAGAGAAATATGATTTTGAAGAAAGGACGTGAGTAGCCAGCACCTTGTGTTTTTTGAGCAATCTAGCAGGCTGAAACTTTTTTCACCTTACTCGTAACATATTATATTGAGGCAGATTTATCTAGTATAAACCTATACTGCATTTTTTTGTGTTCATCTGATTGGCTGATGACCTTACATTTTTGGTTCTATGATCAGCCCTCACAAGGTCAATCCTGGAAACATGAAGCATACTTATTGTTTCCTGTCCATCTAGATGGAACATTATTGGACAATGCTAAAGCTACGAAAGCTAAGGAGTTCTTTTCTACCTCGGATGTACTACAACTATTTCGTCAGGTTGTTATGGAAAAATAGTTTGTGCCTCCATTAGTAGAAGTTCTATTTATTTACACTTATAAAAATAGCAAATCATACAAATTTACCAAATATCAAAAGATATTTGTTTACATCTCTGCTTAGATGTTTGAAGGAACATTGTCTGTTGATGATTTTCAGGTATTTTATCTCACACTGACGCACATACCACAAAACTTTTCTTTTTTGTCATTGAAACACCTGTCTGACTACATTGTTATTGTTGAGCATGCCATATAAAATATTACATATGTTAATATATAAACACAAAATTTATAGCTGTGTGTTCTTCTATAGATGAGGTATGATTTAGTGGTAAAATGTTTATTTGCAGCTTTGTGCGGGGCTTAAGCATATGCATTCGTTTGACCCTCCATATGCACATAATGATGTCAAACCGGGCAACGTCCTTGTGACATACAGGAAAGGTCAGTCACCTTTAGCTATATTGATGGACTTTGGAAGTGCTCGTCCTGCACGAAAGCAAATTCGATCACGTTCAGAAGCATTACTGTTGCAGGTTCTTCTCATAACTTTGATGTTATGGTTGCTCTGTCATCAGTTACTGTATTAGTTGCACTCTATAAATGCTTAAACTTTTTTTAAATCATGAATATGCTTATGGTTCTAACTATCAATTGCATTGTTCCCATAAAGACCAAATAAATAAATAAAAAAAATGTAAAGGAGAATTTTGTACCCTGGAGGAGTGTGACTGCCTGCCCGACCTGCGTATTGATAGAAATTAACTGTGATATCATTTTGTATTGTCAACAGCCACACCTTTTTTATTGCCAGAAGCTGTAAAAAGCTTTCAAGCCATAATTTCAATTTATCTCAACAATTTTTTAAGCTTGCAATTTGAACCAGTTATTTTGCATCATTTGATCTCCTGGATGTTGGTCGCATAGGAATGGGCTTCCGAACACTGCTCTGCTCCTTTCCGTGCTCCTGAATTATGGGATTGCCCAAGTCATGCGGACATCGACGAGAGAACTGATATCTGGTCATTGGGCTGCACTTTGTATGCGATCATGTAAGAATTGTTCCTTGTTATTAGGAGTCTTTACTGTCTTATTTCTGAAGAATTCTGTATAGTTTTCTGTTTTGTTCTCGTCACGTGAAGTCAGTTTTCAGTATAATTTTTTTCCCCGCAACCGTTATAGACTGTTTTATCTTTATCCTTGATGATCTACTATAATGGTCACTAAATCTTTGGTACATTTGCTGTAAAATATATGACATCATCTTCTTATTTACCATTAGTACAGAAAATGACATGTACTAAGGTTATAAAATCGTGTTTCTGTAGGCATGGCATAGTAGAAAAGTAGTTAGAGAGTTTTGATCGAGATGTGTAGGGACATAAAAATTCCGGCCACTAGTATAGGAGCATCCACCCAAGTTGTGTATTCGTTTGGGATTTCGAGTGATATTTTGAGGCTCTTTTAGACTTGGGACTTTTTAAGATTTTCATATTTTGAAGGAATACTATGAAATCTTAAGTCTGGAGGTGGGATTTGGAGTAGGATTCCGTACATTGTTTTTTCTTTTGAAATCTCAGCAAATCTTAAAAAGTCTTAACAAATCCTAGTCTCAAATAAGTTAAATACCTCATGATTTTGTAAGACTTTTTAAAATTTCAAATGAATACCTCAAAACTTTTGAAAGTCAAGTCTAAAATAAATACACCTAATATTTCTAAAGTCTTAAAAAATCTTGAAAAATCCCAAACGAATACACCCCATAATATTACAGAATTGGCTTGTTTTCAGCTCGACTTGCAGGACATAATCGACATATTACTCAATATAAGTGCTAAAATACGAGCCTAATCTGCTGATACTTTTTCTGAAGGTACGGTGAATCTCCTTTTGAGTACGCGCTCGAAGAATCTGGAGGCAGCTTACAGCTGGCGATTGTAAATGCCCAAGTAAAGTGGCCAGTGGGTCCCAACCCACCTTACCCGGATGCCCTTCACCAGTTCGTGAAATGGATGCTCCAGCCTCAGGCCACCGTACGACCATGCATTGATGACATCATAATTCACGTGGACAGCTGATCTCAAAATTTTCAAATTGAAGCAGGGAATTCGAAAACCCGAATATTCACGATTGTTATACTTTCGACACGTCGGTTATTAAAGTTGCTCGGTATTTGTGCGGACCGCGTGAGGTAGATGTAAGTTATATGGAGCATTTCTCAAAGTGTTATAATGTGCTGGGAGGAAAATTTGGCTGCAGCTTTTGCATAATTGATTGATACAGGAATTTGCAGAGTTTGTGTTTAAATTGAGTCGATTTTTGTTATCAGTACTGTACATGTTTTGAAGTCTACAAACAAGTCGAGATATGAATGGATTCTATACGATAGGTCTGTGCTCTTAGGGCGTGTTTGGATACAAATATATCCGCTCAAAATCAAAGAATGAACAATTGTTTGTGGGATTTTGAGTTTATATTAAAATAATATTTAAAAATAATTAAAGTTGATTTGATATAGAAGAATGAGAGAGATGATAAGTTAAAATTGACTAAAATTATGTGAATAGATAAATAGTATTATAAAGTTGATGTGATATGTAAAAATGATTAATTGATATTATTTAATTTTATTAATAATATTGAAGAAAGTAAAATTAAATTAAAATTAAATTAAATTTTGAGTATGCATTAAGTAAAAATTAAAAAAAGATTATAAATAAACACCCCGTTATCGACGGAGCAAATGCGGACATTTTCTTATCTTTTAAATGTTTTCACATGAAAAGAATTGATTTGTGTACATAAGCCTGTCTGAATAATCTGATTTGCTACAGATTTTTCTTGGGACTCAAATTATTAGTGAATATTGATCGAATTAAACTTACTGATCCAGATTCTGGAGTAGCATTCATCATAACCCTATCTGTGCATTCATCAGAACCAAACAAGATATATATCATCACACGAAAAAAAACTCTAATCGGTTCCGAATTGTGCTGGTGTTGGATCACCTTGAGCATTAATTTCTTGGTACATACTAACACTGTATCTGGTTTTACATCCACTTGGGCTGCATGTTATCGTCATTCATGTGGGCCCCACCTGAGATAAAAACCAGGGAGTAAAAGTAATATAATGTAAATTCCTGGCTGCACCCCAACATTTTTCAAAGGGCTCGATAGAACTGCAAAATTCACCAATTAGTCGAGCCGTGCAGATTTTCAAAACTCGAGACCACACCATAAATTGCAGTTTTTCATGCCTCCAGCTTCTATCTGGTTCTCTCTAATTTGGACTCATAAATAGTCTTTTCACAGAGGCCACTGGATCATCATCCACCTGCACAATAATTGTACGCCTTAAATAGCTTACAGAGTTACAGTACATCAAACTTGAAATGATTTTGGGGTTAGATTCGGTTCGTAATGCCATGATAGTCGCCCGATTTACTTTTGTATTTCAAAACAAAAAAAAAAGGGAAGAAGAAGGCTTCCAACTTTTAGGTCCTTTCCACAAACAATTTAAATAACCAAAAAATAAATAAGAAACACAAAAAGGGATTCACAACTAAGATTCAGCACATTCTTTTTTGTTAGAATTCTACTGACGAGCTTATATTAATTTACCTCGATCAAGGTAGATGGAGGCAGTTTGTCGAGCTCCTTGTGGTCCATTAAAGCAGATAATGTCTGTTGCCATCCAGGAGAAGATTTTCCAGTCGACATAATCCAGGGACAAAAGTACCTGTGCTGCTTGATTGGATCGAATTCCTTTGTTTTGCTAGAAGGCGATAATTTCTCACTTTCTCCTGTAAGAATGAGATAAGCAACTTTATCCTTCAAGTAATAACAAAACAATATTAAGACTATGTGAACAGCAGAAATTCAACACATAAGTAATTCAGTTACAGTTTTACTTGTATCCGTATATATAAACCAAAAGTCGGTTCACATCAAACAGAGAGGACATTAAAATTCCACAACGATTGGACTCTGGGAAAAAATGCAAGACAAAAGTGAAAATCAACATAACATTAACATATTAGAAAGATAAGGGTGTGTTTGTTTATAAATTATTTCAACTCAATCCCAGTATCCACAATATTATCAATATAATTAAATAATATCAACTAATCATTCTTACATATCACATCAACTAAAATTCACTATTCATCCACTCACATAATTTTAACTAACCATCACTTCACACCATATTTCTCATACTTTTACATCAAATTAACTTTAATTATTTTATTTTAAATATTATTTAAATATAAACTCAAAATCCCACTAACAACTAATCATACCAACTTTTTCAAAATTAACCATGGTTAACCATAAAAACTCGTTTTGAGTGGATATATTTGTATACGAGCACGCCCTAAGCATATCAAGTGCAATGTTTCATCTTGATCAACAAGTTTCTATGATAAGAACATTCATAAGATAATGGCCTGAAAATGCAACTCATCGACAAACACAAACACAATACTCGAATCAAAGACCACTTAAACTGAATATAAGGTATGAATTAACTTACTTATGCTTAACAACACAGGCTTATCCTTTACAGATGGCCCTTCTCCATGAATGTCCAGAGAGTTATTTGGATACTTACTGCTGTGTTCACAATTTTGATCGGCAGTTCCTTCTTCCAAGATACTTTGACTTTCTAAGGACATTGTTTGACCCTCCACTTCATGAACTTTCTGAATAGCTAATTGATCGTTCGATCCCTTCTCCATCGCAAGCCGAGCTCTCAAATTCGGCCCGATTATCGGTAAAGATATGGTTGCCCCATAATCGAGCATTGCAGGCGGAGGTCCACCGGCAATTGTAGAACCTAATGAAGAAGAAGTAAAAGGGACCGTGACATTTTTACTCGTAATTTCTGTAATTCCTACGAATCTTAAGTACTCAAGAGGCTGTGGGGTAGTGCAAAAATCCCATAATCCAACACTCGCACCACATAAGTTGCAATCAAGAACCACTGAACTAGGATCGAGCTGGAGATCATGAAAAGTGTTGGTGCCCTCATTAGTACACAGAGAATAGACGTTAATTTTCGTTAATTTTCCTGATGTGACTGCTGTATTGGCATCTCTAATGAACGGAACTCGCCCATCCTTGAAGTCAACTTTATAAGGCAATATATGAGGTTCCCAGCCGAGTAGACTCGTGAGCTTCAGCACCTGCAATTCCGTAAGTAAATTCTTCAACTTTCCTACTTAGTGAGTTGTATAACTTGAAAAGAGAAAGATAATGTACACACACATGCACACATATATAGAAAGAGAGAGAGAGAGAAAGAAAGAGCTTCGCAATGCATTCTACTCTCATAATTAAACTATCGCGTAGAACTGATGTGTATAACCATGAAAATAGAGAGAAAAAAAAAAGGGATCAACATAGCTTCGACATTCTCAAAAGGTATTCAGAAATTTTGGCCAAATTGCATTTTTAGTCCTTTTGATTTAATGTTGTAGCAATTTTAGTCCCGAAATTGTAACATTTCGTCTTTTCGTCTTTTGGCCTATTTTGGGATGAATTTTTTATTTGCAATTTCAGTCATGTAATTTAAAATTTTGTTGCAATCAGCAAAATATTAAATCACATAACCAAAAGGCAAAAAGTTAAAACCTTGAGACTCAAATTGCTATGGCGTTGAACCAAAAGGACAAAAAATGCAGTTTTTTCCCAGAAATTTTCTGTCCCCAATGGCAGGCAAAGAATTTACAATTAATAATAGGTACAAATTTTGCATTTTGTATATTATTTTCAGCCAAACCTGATAATACAAGCCGGACGAACTTGTCTCAGGTACGTGTTCCGGAAGCTTTGTCCCAGAACTTTCAAGAGGCTCTTGGTACTCTGAAGTTGAAGACTGTCCTAGAAATTGCTCGAGCTTAGAGCTTCTCATTTTAGCAATGGCCACAGGCGAAATAACTGGAAGGGCTATCAGATTCGACAGAGCAAGAAAGCGTTTTTTGTAATTCTCAATCAACTCAGTGCTTGATACAACTGGAAACTGAGCAAGTTCTTCCCCACACGCATTATTAATCCAAGGGCACAACAATTTGTGCCCGCTTTCCAGCTTCAAGCTGAATACAGCAGCAGCTTTCTCAACTGATTGTACATTGCGAAAAAGATGGAGGAAAAATAAAGAATCACGATTCAGGATCCAAGTTACATGTGTAATTGCGTATTTTCTAACTTCTTAACCTTAGAAAAGAAGTACAGTAATGGTATGAAAATACACTGCAAGAGAATTTTTGACTCGTAAAAGTATTGCTTGCCTTGTTGTTGTGTCCAAACAGATGGAGTAGAAAAAAGGATACGTGCATCGCAAGAGGCACAAGCAATTGTATCCATGTCTATGTTAATCCAACCCCTCCTAGCACATTCCAAGGGGCTCACCACCTGAATTGAAATAATATATTGCGTTATTCTTAATTAGGAAATCATATACTATATAACACAAATGTGAATCCTACAAGTTATAGAATCTTAACCACGAATAAGTTATCAAGAAACCCCATAACAGAATTCAACACATACTTTCTCAACATCACATATGACCTTAAAGTTCATATATATAAACAGAAGATAAATACAAAAGAACGGTAACATGTAACTGTACAAAATGCTTGGCAGACTACTTTGGTTGTTCAAAGCCTACGAGAATTCATAAATCAGCTTTAGCAATCTCCTCAGCCTTTTACAAAAAACATCGAAGATTTCAACCAACCCATCAACCGGAAAAAAGAAAAAAAAACATACAACAGATTCAAAGACGAATACAAACCTGTGGCTTTGCGAACCAGGTAGTCGACTTGAATGTGGATAACCTCCTAAAGAAATCATCACGGTCCCAAGGCCTGCAAGCCGAGGCTTGAGCCGGCTTAGCTGGGCTTCCTATTTTCTCACCCATTAAGGAAGAATGAGGGCGCTTTCGGCCACTCAATGTCTGAACTTCACTACTACAGCACACGCATCAATAAACACAAGACAAAACAAAAACAACATTAATGCTGTCAAGTATCAACAAGGGATTAAGCACCCCACAACTAGAAAACGCTTGAAATTAAGCCAGCGAACTAGACCGTCTTCTGAATCAGGACTATTTTAGGAACAAAGTCGAAACCAGAAACATAATTTGCAAAAAAAACAGAGGAACAAAAAAAATCGATCTTTGGCCTTCGAGGGCACATTACGCATCGAAATTCACTATATCACGGCAAAAAGAGAAGATCCCTATAAATACCTGATGTTTTGGGAGGTGGGTTTAGGTTTTGGAGGAGGATGAAAGAGCTTCTTCATAATTGCTTCAAACCTTTTTTCAGATTCTTCAGCCATCTGTCGTTGTGTTCTCCAGTCTCTGTGACGACCGTGAACGAGGTGAAGGATTTATTAGTTCACTTAATTACACTTTTAGTAGCGTATGTTTCCCTATCTTAACTTTCCCGTCTTCTTCGTTTTTTATTTTTGTCCCGTATGTTTACAAAAGGTTATAAAAAAATATTTTTTATACATAAGAGATGAAATTGAAATTTTTTTTACAAAACATAAAGGATATTTTTGCTGCGAAAAGGACCTTTTTGTAACTTTTTTACAAACATACGGAACGAAAATAAAAACGCAATTCAAAGAGAACGAAAAAGTTAAAATAGTGAAACATGCAGGACTAAAATTGCATTTTACTCATTTTGTTTTAATAGTTGGGTAGTTATGTTGTTTCAGTTTGCTATGAAGCCAACAGTTGGCTCCATAGCGGAGCCAACTTTCTATATATAACACTAATAATTTTTATTAATATCATATAATTTACTGGTTGTATATAGAATTTGGCTCCACTATGGAGTCAACTATTGGCTTCATAGAAAATTTGATGTTCTTAAGCCAAAGTAAAACTTAAGCTACCCGAGTCCATATTGGGTGGGCCTTAATGGGTTGAATCACGAAGCCTATAGGCTTGGGGGCGAGCCTCAAAACAACAAAAATGAGAAAAAAAAAAAGATTCACTTGTGTATTTTTTTATTTTAATTTTTATGGATGTTTTTACTTATGTTGTCAACTTAGTTGTACACTAGGTTGACAATGTAACATTTCTCAAAAAATAATATAAAGAGAGATAAATAAAATTAGAATCCAGAGTTTTATTTTAAATTATTAGCATTATAATATCAAATCATTAAATTAAAAGTTTTATATGCATGAAATTTATAACATAAATTTATAAATTTTTCCAATTCATACTGAATTCATACCCAAAATATAACTCAACTTTAACTCAATCTTACTATATTCAATATTATCAATATAATTAAATAATATAAAACAATCATTCTTACACAACACAAAAATTTTAATTCACTATTAATCAACTCATATAATTGTAACAAATCATTAAATTCACATTATCTATTTCATAGTTTTACATTAAATCAACTTAATTATTTTATTTTTAAATATTATTTTAATACAAATTCAAAATTTCACTAACACCTAAATGTACAAACTTTTTTTAAAATTTACCATAATTAACTAGAGGTGGCCATTAAATGGGCCGTGGCCCGGCCCGGCTATATCTAAGGGCCGATAAAAATGAGTACAACACGACCCGTAACCGTCCCTTAAGGGGTTCTGGACCGGTTCATAGGCCAGTTCACGGGCCGATCCAACTGTGGTCATGTCTATAATTAACAAAAAAAAGCTCAGTTTTGACCTATATCCAAGCACCCAAAGGGTGTGTTTGTTAAACAATTTACTCAATCCAAATTAATTTATACTAAAAATCTAACTCCACTCTAACTCAACTTCACTATCCTCAATATTATCCATATAATTAAATAATAACATCCAATCATTAAATAATAACATCCAATCATTTTAGCACATCATATCAACCTTAATTCACTATTTATCAACTCACATAATTTTAACTAACCATTACTTCAAATCATTTCTCTCCACTTTTACATTAAATCAATTTTAATTATTTTATTTTAAATATTATTTTAATATAAACTCATAATCTCACTAACAACTAACTATACCACTTTTTATAAATTAACTATAATTAACTAAAAAAATTTACTTTAAATTAATTCACTCAAATTATTTTTTTAACAAACACACCATAAATATCCAAGCCCACTTGTCCGGAAGTAATAAAAACAATCTTGTATGGATACCATTGGCCATCCAAAAGATAAACATCTTAACGTGAAATTCCCCAAAAATGACAAAAAGAGGCCAACAGAATCTACAAAACCCAAGCTTCTACATAATTACAATTATGGCACAAACAATACTACTTCTGTATTTCACTTTGGCCCTTTACATGACAAACCTTAAACAATGTGTGTAAATTAACCAGCGACTCGAGCTCGAGTTCATGGAACCAGAACTCGATACCATGAGTCCAACTCGACACGTTAACTAAACGAGCCAGTAATCAAACTTGAGCTTGATTTGTTTATCAATATTAACGAGTTGAACTCGAATTTTAACAAGTCGAGTTATAACAAATTATATAAAACTTATGTTTCGAGCCTTAACGAGTCGGGCGGAGCCCGAATCGTTAATTGAATAAATTTTAAATAAGTTTGAACCCGACTCATTAACTAAACAAACATTAAACGAACACGAGTCACTTGTTTATCAAACGAGTTCAGTTGAAATCGAGTCTTAACGAGTCGAGATCACGAGCAATTCATTTCTTTTAATAACTCTACTTATATATAGAAGGAATGTAAATTCACCAAAGCTAACAAAAAGAAAAAAACACAAACGACCAACTTTTTACATAATTACAAGTATGGCACAACACTAACACTATATTTGATATTGACCGTTTCCCAGGAGCGAGAGGACAGTGGTTTTTAATTCCTTTCACTTTTCGTCACTTTTACCAAAATTTTTATTCAGCTCATCAATGGCAATTGCTGCAATTAAGCTTCCCCATTTTTTCTAGGGTTTTATTGTCCCGTCCGTAATAAATCCGCCCCTTTCTCAATTGCTCTCTTAATCCATGGCCGTATTGTTTGCTGTCTGTCACTGTAAATCCAATACTGTGAAATATCCAGATATATATAGATAAGTACAAAAATACATACACACACAGATATAGATACTGTTTTTTCTGTTAATCTCTGTGTTTAATTTAGGTAATAAGATCCGTATTGTTAGGTCCCACTTATTGAGTGTTGGCGTGTTAGGTTAGAGAGAGGGAGAAAAATGAGCTGGAGGAGAGTGGCGAAGTCATTGCAGGCGGTGGCCGCTCACAATTTGCTCTTCGGTTTCACGCTCTTGCTCGTACTCAAACTCGATCACACAGTTTCATGCTCCTGGTGGTATATATGATTTTATTTTATTTTTGGGTTTCTTTTAGATCATTTTGTTTATTGGTTTAATATATCTGCTTATTTTTTGGGTATATTTTTTTTGGTTATATGGGGGCACATGCATGTGGATTTTTTTCATTTTTGTTTAGTGTTTGGTGCTTGAATGTTCTGTTTGTTCCTTTTTCTATAATACGTATGTGAATAAATTGGTTGGGGGAGCTTCTCTTGTATTTGGGTTCTCTAAAAAAATTGCGGAAAGAGAAAAAATTGATGGTTGTTTTCTTATGGTTGATTGGAATGTTTGTTAGCTCATCTCGTTTCTGCTGCAGTCTTCACTGNGTTGGCCTGAGGAAATTATCCCAATTATGACAATTTCTATGGGTGGTTAGATCTGTAATTTGCCGAGGGATGTGCAAAGAGTACAAGTTGCATTCCTGACTGTGCTCATCATGCAAGAATGGCCCATTCAAGTTGTATGGGAAATTTTTGCAAAATTAGCTTTGACACAGCATGATTATGGATAAACTTGAAGGCTTAAGCTAATGTTGGAACATTGGTTTTTTCCTTTATGGCCTCACGTATCTGCTTGTGTGTTGTGTAGGGTTATTTTCTTTCCATTGTGGCTATTTCATACAGTTGTTGCTAGAGGAAGATTCTCCCTACCCGCCCCATCAGTTCCTCATGATCGCCATGTATGCGTTTATACTTTGTAATTTTTAAATTTGAATGTGCAGCGATGTACGGAGAACAAACCATGCAGTTTTGCATATATTGCCGTGTTTTTTACTTTTTATTTTTTCCTTTATTTTGATGCAGTGGGCCCCATGTCATGCTGTGGTTGCGATGCCATTGCTTGTTGCATTTGAACTGCTTCTCTGTATATATCTTGAGAGTATATATGGTAAGGAAGCGAATCCCCCATGGTATTATTTTTATGCAAGAAAGATTTATGTTGTTGCATTATGTGTTGCTCCATGCTTCTGGTGAGTTTCCTATTCTCACTAGGCATCGATGATAAAGCGCAACGTCTAGTTTGGATGTTATCGCCTTCAAAATATGCCTTCTTTTCTTGATTGCAGTTAATGGTTCTGCTTCCACCTTTTTTTCTTGATTGCAGTTAATGGTTCTGCTTCCATGAACCTGAAAATTACCTTCCTTCCATTGCTGGCCTTCGAAGTTATTATCCTTATTGACAATTTTAGGTATAACACTTACTCAAGCCCTTATGTTTGATCTGGCTTCTCTGACAAAAAAGTATCTTTCAGATGCTTAACACCACTAGCCACTTGCTCAATAATTACTAAAAGCTGAAGTATTTGAAACTTCGAACATTAGCCAATAAGAAAGAATGTATATTACTAAATATATGTCCGTAATTTTTTTGTTCGGTTTCTGCTCTTGTTGAGTCAGTAATCAGTGATTCGTCCTACCAGTTCAGCATTAATTTCTTTTTGAGAATAATTTGTTAACGTGATTTTTTTTTTTTTTTTAGCTTATCATTTTCAATCGTTGAAGTGCATGATAGAAGAAACGTGTAACCTAGCACATATTTGATTTTTTCATAATGACTGTAGAATGTGCAAAGCTTTATTACCTGGAGATGATGAAAGCATGAGTGACGAGGCGATATGGGAGACACTTCCTGTGAGTTTCCTGACTCGACAGAATCAGTGAAAATTTTCGATCTCAGATCTTTTAGTCTTTTAGAAGTGGCAGAATTTTGTCCGTTTAATTCGTTTCGGCAACCTTTAGGTGTTTATGTTTTAGGTAGGGTTGTCACTAGGCAAACAATAACTTATTACTAGCTTTGAAATATATTATAAGATGCTAAAAAGTCGTAGGCTCGCCCTAAACACTATATGAGTCAAATTCATGGTGCTTATGTATTTTAAATGTACAACAAAAAGTGAAAGAAAAAATGTTTATATATTTTGTTGAAGTTTGAAAAAATAAATAAGGAACAATATATAACAATTTATAATAAAAAACTAAGTGAATTAACAATATTATTTTAAATTCTGAAAACTAATTTAGATACATCATTAGTTTTATTTATAATATTTTTATTTAAAATACATATCAAAATAATATGGACAAAGCACAAAATTTGGAAAGTAAGATAATATGCACATTATAGAATGGAGATAATAAATAGATTTATATGGAATAGTTGAAATATATTAAATATGCGTATATATGGCGATCCAAACCTAAGCTATTTTGTATAAAAATTAGTAATTTTTATCCGAGCCATGTTACAAAGCATAATATTTTGCACATAAGATTACGAAGCATGCGAAGCTGCCTCTTAGGCTCAGCCCGTTATGAAATTATATATAAGGGGGATTTACTGTTTCATTCTTTCTCAAGTCTGTTTCTCTTTCACGTTTTTATGCCTAGTTTGTAGAAACAAGTATATCTATAATAATTCCTTGTTATGTTCACAGCACTTCTGGGTGGCAATATCAATGGTTTTCTTTCTCGCTGCAACTTTGTTCACCCTCCTGAAACTTTGTGGTGAGTGTGTTTTATTTTATAAGCTGTGAGAATTAATTGTAGTTGATTGCCTTTGTGTTTCACTTTTCTCTCCCGTTTGAATAGTGGGCGACATATACCAAATTAAAAAGAAGAACCTTGAACTTTGATGACAAGCATTTGTATGTTTTTATGTTACCCTCCTTTTTCCTTTAATGCTTGAGTTCATCTGCTACCATGTACCTTGTTCTTTTAAATAGATTCACTAAAATAAGTTCGTATTTTAGTAGTTCTTGTCCACTTGCGATCATTGCCTTTAAATACAGTGTACATTTGCGGTACAACTTAATTTGTCCACAAAATTTATTTTCTCATTTGCTTTGAGACAAAACAATCCGATCCGTTACGGTGTGGCTCCACTTGCCAATGGATTGATAAAGTACCACTATGAATGTACTATGACTAATTCTGGTACTTGGAAGTTTTCTGGCTTTGAAGTGGTGAGAATGCTAAATTGTGACTTAGCTTTAGGGTGTTTGGTATTAATGGTGCTGCAGAGATCATGATTGGCAAGTTAGTCCGAACTTCTTCAAAACCTTGTTTGTGGAATTGAAAACACGCTCACATTTCCGGTTAAAATCATTGATTTAAAAATCAACAATTTTAATTTTATTATTATTATTATTATTATTATTATTGTTGTTATTATTATTATTATTATTATTATTATTATTATTATTATTATTATTATGTTCAAGTAAACTCTCTTTGGTGCTCCCTGTTAGGCTTTTACATTATAGCTGCACTTTGTAATTGATGTCACTTTACATTTGTATTTATTATAGTTCACTAGTAATTTCCTCAATTTGTTACACCTGTTATCTTATATATCTCGTAGATGTTGAGGTCTTTCTCAAATTTTCTCATTGTGATTTACCACTTTCCTCATTTTCCAATACTGCAGGTGATATTGATGCTCTTGGCTGGTGGGACTTGTTCATAAATTATGGGTAAATATTTCCACTTAAATGCATTTTTTCCTTCATCCTTATGTCATCAGAGTTTCACAATGAGTTGACTCCTTTTTCTGTTTCTGTAGGATTGCTGAGTGCTTTGCGTTTCTTGTTTGTACAAAATGGTCAAATCCAATAATTCACAGAAATTCTCAAACAAGAGAAGAAAGTTCATCTTCTAATGTTATTCGGTATCTTGACTGGACTAATGGCCTAGTGGTATCCGAAGATCATTCCCAGGATAGAATGTGTGGTCTACAGGATATTGGTGGCCACCTCATGAAAATTCCAATTATTGTTTTCCAAGTCCTCCTTTGCATGAGACTCGAGGTACATATTCTTATGGCTCTTGTAAATACCGAGACGAAGGCTATGTTGTTGTTGTTTGACTTTTTTGGTGTGGTATGGTTATTTTTGAAAAAAGAGTGGCATGGTTAGTTATTAGTGAGATTTGAGTTTATATTAAAATAATATTTATGTAAAAGTATGAGAGAGATGGTGTGAAGTGATGGTTAGTTAAAATTATGTGAGTGGATGAATAGTAAATTAAAGTTGATGTGATGTGTAAGAATGATTCAGTGATATTATTTAATTACATTGATAATATTAAGGATAGTGAGGTTGAGTTAAAGTTGAGTTAAATTTGAGTTAAAAAAAGTGATTGGTTAAAAATGATTGGAATTTTTTTAGAAAAATTTGTGCACAAGCATCCCCTAAATTGCTATGAAATGACATCGAGTAACTTATTATTTGGGTTTTGAATTAGGGAACGCCACCTCGCGCTAGACATATCTCGGTTCCAGTTCTGTTCTCTCCTATATTTGTCTTGCAAGGTGCTGGGGTCTTGTTCGCTTTATCCAAATTGATTGAGAACGTTGTTTTGTTACTACAAAGTGATGCTAGTGGAGGAGCATATTTTGTTTATTCTTCCAGAATTTATGAATGCTTTGATTTCATGCACCATGGCTCCAGGTAAAGTTTGAATTTGTTTACAGTGTAGGTTGAATTGCATCACAATACAAATAAGTCAAAGAAAGAAAGAGAATATGATTAAGATTTTTTATTTATTTATTTATTTTTTTTGGGTGACTTTTACTTGTCAGGCTGCTCGGCTGGTGGTCCATTGATGAAACAAGCAGAGAAGAGCAGGCTCGCCTGTTTCATGATGGGACCTCAGGGTAAGTTTTTACTTGAATGATGGTATTTATGAAATTTCTTTTAATCATGTGGTAATTTTAATTGAAGAGACATTCTCAAGCCAAAAAAAAATCGAGCTGCTGAGATAACAGATATCTGATACTCAAGACTACAAAAATTATAATAACATTTAATTGCTAATTTGCTATAATCACAGTCTGATAAAGATTTCTTACAGAAGGGGTTTGGGTGATCAACTGAAGACCTGTGATTTTCATTGAAAAAAAAAAATGTCTATAATAATAAAAAATTCAATATTTATTGGAAATGCTGCTTATTTCGGCCAGGGGAGACGGGCCATTTGCAAGATATCCAAATAAGAAGATCCATGCTCAGACCGAAAATACTAGAATACAAATGCTAATAAATAGTTATAAACATACAGGTATATTAGCAAAGCACCACAAGAAAACACAACTATTCTTCTGTCTAATTACACTGTTAGTCTCCTGTTTAAACGTTCTACTGAGCGTAAATTTGAAACTAGTTATGGTTTTTTCTTGTCTTCATTCCAATAGTGTTTCAGATGAGATGATATGATGCATTCGTAGTGGTTAAAATTACTAGTTACTTCTATTACATTATCTGAGAAGCTTTTATTACTATGACTAATGACTCCAGTTACAACACGTTCTCTGGTTATCCACCTGAGATAGTTAAAAAACTGCCAAAGAAGGATCTTGTTGAGGAGGTAAATGTCTTCTGTTTTCATCTCTATTACATTATTATCCCTAGCTGCAACTTTAATTAATCAGTCTAATCTTTTTTTATTTTTTATTTTTTTTCGGTTCACTTTCTTGTTAGGTGTGGAGACTTCAAGCAGCACTCGGTGAACAGACAGAAATTACGAAATATAGTCAGCAGGAGTACGAGCGACTTCAACATGTAACAAAATCTTAATTTTTTATATTAATTTTTTATTTTTATCCTTTATTGCATTATCTATATGTTCAAGCTAACCGAATGACTCGTCGCTATTTGGCCCAGGAGAAAATTCTGTGTAGAGTCTGCTTCGAGGGGGAGATTGGGATTGTACTTCTTCCTTGCAGGCATCGTATTCTTTGCAGGTACAGTGACTAAGTTCCCTTACGCTTCTTTTAACTACTTATCAATCTAGATTAATCATGATTATCCTTTGATTAATGATAATGCAGTTCTTGCTCTGATAAATGTAAGAAGTGTCCGATTTGTCGGCTGTCTATTGAAGAGCGGTTACCTGTGTATGACGTATAGGCATTGTGCATAGCCTGACCTTTGCCCTTACTCAGCTTCTGAAAGCTTTCGTTTTTTTTTTTTTCGGAACATGATGAAGTAACATAGTTTTCTCCTAAACCATAACAGTGAGCGTAACTTTGACCCAACTAAACACGAACGCTAAAGCGTATTTATGTGCTGTTGTGTCGAAGACTTTTCTTTTGTTTCACATGTATATATGCTTATAGTTGTGGTTCAGTGAGGGGAGATCTAATATAGTTCGATTTTCGTGCGAAAAATTTTGTGTTACCAAGTTCCTGCCATGGTATGGCTGCCATTAGAAATTTGTGAAGTATGAAAGTTAACTGCTAGAAGATGTATATATTTTTTGGGGCTTCTAAATGTTTACTACATTTTTTTTTTTGGGAGAATTTTTAAAAAGGACAACATTCAAAATAAAATCAAACATAAATGCTCGTAGATGAGTCATAAACTAAAAAATAATGCAATGTAGAAATCAATAAAAAAAACCACAGATCAACCAAATAGTTAAGTTGGTACATTTGCAAGTGAAAATAGAAAAACTTTTATATACAGGAATTTTTAAGTGAATGGTTTAATTTTTTCTATTTTTTTCAAATTCATATGCATAATATTAGAAAGGGATGCAAGCAGAAACCTAAAATTCCATTTTGTAATAACCATGAGTTTTGTGCATAACTTGTCTAACAGTTATGTCGTCTCACACAACAATGTATAAAAAAGAAAAAAGAAAAACCCTACACATTTCTTTTAGAAACCATCCTCAAAGCTTCCACAAGAGTCTCCTCAAACCTCCCACAATCAACCTCCACATCTTGATCATCCATATACACGGCTCGAAACCCCAAAAACCCCTTCTTCTGAATCTTCCCGGGCTCCCTATACACCTCACTCTCCACAGAATACTTCCCTTTCAAAGAACTCTCATTCCACCCCACTCTATACTCCAAGTACCCCAACCCCATCCCTTCCGCTTCGGCCCGATAATATTGCCGGGCCAGCCCGTCAAGCCCGAACGGCACCACCTCCACAGCCACCCCTCCCTCCGGCAAAAAAACCATATTCGTCATCCCGGCCCCATGCACTCCCGCCATCACGTCGAACGAGTTCACGAACCGAGCAGACTCCGCCACGTCATCAGTCGACCCAATTTCCCTCACGACGACATCAAACCCGACCCGCCTCGCGACCCGGGCCACGGCCCGCTCGTTCGTCATCCTCCGACTCCTCTCCCTCGAGATCATCAACATTCGGGCCCGCGGGCTTTTTTTCGCCCAAACGCGGGCCCGAAGGGCCCACGTGGCCTGAACGAACTCCCGAAACTCCGCCATCGAGTAATGTGGAGGCTCTCGCGGGTCGATCCCGAGCTCCTTGTGGGCCCGGAGCCCGACCGTCACCCTCGGGAAGCAAACGACTCGACGCTCGTCGTCGATATTCGCGATTTCTTGGCTCGAGAGTTTTTTAAGCATGCGCTCGTATTTTTCGATCCATGGTTCGAGGAGGTCGTTTACGAGGAGCACGATCGAGCGGTTGTAGGGTCGGGCAGTGAGGTAGAGAGGGACGAGAAGGTCCGAGAAGTCGTGGTAAGGGTTCATGGCGTAGCCTCGGGTCGAGAAAATGATGCCGGGAAACGGGCTTCGGGCCTCGCAACCCGGGAGTTTAGAGGCGGGCCCGTGAACGACGGTCCACTCGCGGATGTAGCCCATTAGGAAAGTGTCGTGCTTTCGGGCGTAAGGTTTTAAGGCCCACGAACGGGTAGGGTCATTTTCCGTGGCTGAGGCGACGAAGACGGTGAACGATTTTCCGTGGACTCGTACGTCGCCGGTTATTTCGAGCATGTCGGATATCGAGTTGCTTAGGTTGGAAATCGAGGGAGGAAGTTTGAGTTCGAGTTCGAGTTCGGTGAGGGCTATTAAGATAGTAAAAATTTTTGAATGAGAATGGAACTCTCAAGTCATATATGAGATTCAAAATCAAGGATTGAGCTATTAAGATAGTAAATTTTTGAATTATAATGGAACTCAAGTCATATATCAGATTCAAAATCAAGAATTGACCACATATCATAATTTTTTGTTACAAGTTGTGTGTAATGTAAGTTCATGATCAAGAATTTATACACTTACATTTTTGTTGATGCTTATTATCAGAGCCAATCAAGACTTTCAGTCCCAAAGACAATGATGCCTCCAAATCCACTGTAAAATTAGACAATCATATGATACAAAGTTATTTGATGCCATAAATCGATGGCTTCTTTACCTATCGTGTGTCGATTGAGTTCAAAAATAAGGTTGTTATTATGTATATTTTTTAACGAAAAAATCGATAACTTACTGACAGGCTGCTTGAAGAAGTTAAAGAGGCTTAGGCTCATGATGAAGCCGAGAGCTAAAGCTACGCAGCTTAGCGTTTTCATCTCAAATCGACCGAAACTTCTGAAAAATACGGAGTCCTTCGCCATACGAACTCACTTCTAAGTAACACAAAACCAATATCGACTTGTTAATCCTTAAATTGAAACTCCAATCTTCCAAACTTGTACAGGTAATAGACTTTCGGCTGGAAATGAGATCTCGTTGTTTTGGAAAATATCCGTTCGAATAAGAATTGTTGTGCCGTTATCGTTGTAAATTAACAACTTTCTAATTCAGAAAAAGACGATGCGTGAAATTCGTGTGTATCATGCAACTTTAGAACGACTTGCTCGATAAGACCATTTTCTACTTTTCGACATGTTTTTCTCTGTTTTTCTTACAGAGGAAACAATTAAGCGGCGTGCAATACATGCGATGAATCTCAAAAAACGTGCGTTTTTCTCCATTAAGTTTTCGAACTTATTGGAATATTACAGAAAATTTCCTCGGTGTTGAAAAACAGAACAATTGCAACAACAGAATCATTTGCATGTAAGTTGATACTTATTAACAAGTATTTGCTAATTAACAAAAGATTTCAAATTCGAAAGCTGCCAAATTATTGCATTTTCTCGTTTGATCGAAGTCTCATTACCTCAAAGAAAAGCTTTCTACTTTCTTGAAACAATATTATTTCAGTCCAAATGGAGTTGAAACTTTCCGTAAAGTGATGAATCGAGCTAGTCGGAAGCTGACGATGAACGAGTTTGCTTTGATCAGCAGTTTCATGCATTCATTAGGAAAATAGGCTATTTAGACACTTGACACTTGAATATCTGATTGATAATTTTTTTGAACTTAAAAGTTTCTACATTAGTATAAAAAGATGCTATTTTGACTGATCAAAAGATGCTATTTTTAATAAGCCATCTTCATCTAAGCTCTGCATTTGGATAATTAAGATTTATGGCTCCAATTGAGTAAGTTTAGGGGAACTTCTTTGAAAGCATTAGGAGCTTCTTCATGCTAAGGGAAATAGGTGGTGGTGATGGTGGTAAAACTTTTCTTTGGAAATTTTGAAATAAATGAAACTATACTAGTATTCAATCGTCTGCAACTCCACAAATATAAATAAAGTATTATAAGGTATATATATGCATATAATAATAAAATTATAAGCTATATAATGGTATTATATTTTAAAAATTTTGGACAATAGTAAAAATAAACAGTGAACTTTTTAATTGCATATGAATATTGGATAGAATGTAATGAATAATATAATTTTTATTATTTAGAAAGATCATGACCAATTAATTAGCTGAAAAAAAATATTAAATTTACTATTGTAACACTTGCTTATGCTATTTTAAAGGATTTGATTATACCAATAAAACCAATTAATTTATTTAAAAAACAATCGTTGATGAGACAAAAAAGTAAAAGATAATTAGAATAAATAAATTGAAGAAAAAAAATTACTATATAACTATTTAGTCTATTACTCAATTAATATAAAATGTAACGATTTTGATATCTTTATATAAAAAAAGAGGTGGAAATGGATTTTGTTTTACATTAAATTCTTTGCCCATAATATATGCATATATGTATATATATTGACAATTTCTTTTTGCTATCTTTATATATATAGAGAATTATTATTATTATTATTATTATTGAAAATTCTTTTTGCCACCGTTGCTTTGAAAGTACCAATGTGTAACTCAAGTTGTATTTTCAGTTAGAGTGAAGAAAAGGCATCTACATTTGGAGTTGAGTAGTTGACAAATGTAAGAATAATTGGTACAAAGTTTGGTCCATACTTTTGTTGACAAATGTAAACAGAAATATAACATTTAATAATATAAATATATATATTTTTGTTCAATCTCTCTAGGTCGTCTTAAATGAGAAATGTTATAGATAAATAAAGCTGTGAATATGAAAATTTTGTTCTTCATCATGTACTAATATGTACATTACAGTCCATGTTGCATCTTGGTTGAGAAAGAAAATTTGAGTGGCAAATTGATGTGAGATATAAAGTAGAAATTAATTGTGATATGATAAATAAAAACATAATAATTAATTATAAATATATGAGTGAACAAATAGTATAATTAATAAAGAAATGTATAGTAATAAAATGGTAGAAATAGTAAAATAATTAAATTGGTAGGTAAAAACAAAATATTTTTTTAGTATTATTTCTTTTTCTAGCCAACACATAAGTAAAATTATTTATGACATTGATATTTATTTTTTATTATCATTGAAACAAAATTAGAGGAATTGGGAAAGTAAAAACAGCCAATACCTGATTGTTTAACATAGCAAACCAAATATAGAGAAAAACATAGGGTCAGTGAATAATAATGCTCAGAAACTAGTTTCGTTTTCAAGTCGTGTTGTAATCAAAGCTGTTCAAGATTGTACAGAGGCGGAAGCGCTGTCCGAGGTAAAGCTAATCTCGCTCGAATCTACTAAAGCTTGCATTTAACCGTATCGGACAAATCCCACAAAAGTTCTTGTTTTTATCCTTTCAAGAATTTCGTCTTTTTTTTTTCAGATCCAAGCTGCCCTTGCAATTTCAGCTCGTGGGTTTCGGCAAATTCAGGTTATTTCTATGTATAACCCCGTTGGTTTCATTTTTGTTGAAGTTTTATTTTGGCCCTCGTACATTAATGCTGCTTATGGATTTGAAATTTATGTTCTTTGTTGGTTTTGACGTTATATTAGGAGAAAGTTTGTTCCTTTACGTCAATTGAATTAAGAAAGCGTTGAGAATTGAATGTATTTTCTTGAAGTAATTTGAGACTAATCTTGCAATTTTTTGGTGAACTGTGCTATCAATTTTATCACCAGATTTCCAAGCTACATTTACACAGGTCTGCAGAAAATAATGAAGAGCTGTTGGGATGTATCAGCTGTAATCGATATGAAACTTGACTTGATCTTATCCTTCTGTTAAGAATCGATAAGATGATAAACTTGGTTTACTGTAATAATTATTTGTGTGCATGCAGTATGTTTAGTAGTAAAATAAACGAATGTTTGGTCACTGTATATCATGATTCTTGTTTGGGTTACTCTTCATCATGGAAACTTCCTTTCTTTACTAAGTCGGTGACACATTTTAGACCAATTTTTCATATTTTTTCTATCCTGTCCAGGTTTTGTTGTTAAAACTGACTGAAAGCGTGCAAAAAAAAAAGCTCTCTTTCTAATGGCCGGTCACTGTTGCTTGTATTTTACTGTATGGGAGAGATAGATGTGAAAACCACTGATCAATTACTATTGGTTGATTTTGCGAGTATATAAAGAAATGAGCCGTTCCCCATCATTTTCCATGAAATCGGAGCTTTCTCTCGAAGTCGATGAAAAATCTTTACAGCAATGGGTAGTTGCATTTTGTATAATTCGATTCGACCTTGAGCGTGGCCAGCTCATCGAGGAATGTTTTCCGCCTAACTGTCTTACTCAAAGCGAAGAGCTTGAGGTCTCGTTTAGCTCATTCCCCGATTCAGTCTCGCAAAACCATAACCGCTCGAGCATTCACGACTGCATCTTCTTCTTCCGCATGAGGAGACATAAAACTCCTCAGAAAGTTTCGCCAGATATTGTCGAAGTAAGCAAAAATCCCACGAGCTACAACTCGAGATTCTTGTACGGATTCGTTTTCAACAGACAGAGGCACGACGAGAAATTAAAAAGAGGAGGCGAACAAAAATCGGTCGTCATCCTCTCTCACAGCCCTTACAGTAGTTTGTTTAGGCCTTTGCTGCAAATAATGGGCCCTTTGTATTTCGATGTGGGAAGCAAGGCACTGAATTATATCGCCGCTTACGTGTCAAAATGGCCGCCACCTGTCCCTGGTCAACAAATCGAGCTCCCGATTGGAAATTCCTCGCTTAAAGTCAACCTCCCGCCTTCTCACTGTTTGCCTTCGGATAGCGGCTTTTTCGAAGACTCGGCTTCTTCTCTTGCTCCTTTGCTTCCTTCGAACCAGTCAACTCCACAGGGCTTATTTCACGACTCTGATCTTTTCGGCACATTTCGTGGATTGTTAATGCAGCTTTGGAAACTATGGGAAATTCTACTTATCGGTGAACCTATTTTAATTATAGCTCCCACACCTCCTCAGTGTTGTGAAGCTGTTGCGGGTTTGGTTAGTCTAATTGCCCCTCTCCTTTTCAGTGTCGATTTTAGGCCTTACTTTACTATACACGACCCCGAATTCGCAATTTTGAACTCCTTACAAGACGGGTCTTCTTTTCCTCCTATGGTTTTAGGCGTGACAAATCTCTTTTTTTTAAAAGCGCTTCGTAATATGCCTCATATAGTTTCAGTCGGGAGTCCTTCTCCGAATTCGAACCGTTTGCCATTCGGTTCTAACATTCAGCAACTTTCTCTGAAAAAATTTACTCCCACAAACTTCTTGAGTGCCGTGAGGTTGAGGAGAGATGGGCCTTTGTGTTTAATGTCGGAGCATAAAGAGGCCGTCTGGACAAATTATGCTCCGGTGACTAAACCGGACACTTCTATCTTGAATAGGCTTATCGATGCTGGAATGTCTCCAAGAGTTGAGGAGTCAATGTCGGTGGTTAATAATGATATATTGCGTCGACATTTTTTGGAGCTGACTACGAATTTTTTGGCTCCTTTTGGCCCGTATTTTAGGGCAAATACACCTTCTGAAGCTTCTTCTCCGTTTGCCGATCCACCGCCTTTGCCTACTTTTAATGCTGAGGAGTTTCTGGCGAATTTGTCGGCTAGAGGGCCTGGAAAGTTTTTGCTCAAGAGGATGAGGTCGAATTGGCTCGATTTGTATAGGTACTTGGTTAATTAGTGCATTAATTTATACAGAATGTGGTTTTGATAGTGCTATTACTTCAATAAGTGTGCATTGCGTAATTAATTAATGGAAGTGAACGCTAAAACTGTGCGTAATTTGTCGTGTTAGTAAAATGACGTGTGCCTTTCTTTTTCTCATTTTAGGTATTCTCCTATTCAACACGTGTTTATATTTTCCATGATGATGCTATAAGTTGATACCCTTTTCATTTTGTCTATATGCGCCCCTTCTTAACTGAGCATAATATTTTCTGCATTGAAAATATTAACCTTTGCTGTGTGGCTGTTTTTTCTGCTTTTTATAAAATGGTTTGAAACTATTTATTTGTTTTGGCCTTCCATCAAATATATTAACCTTCCATTGATATCTGTATTGGAGGACTAACAAAGCATACAATCCATTCATTGAAAGTGCATCATTTTTAATCTTTCTGTCCAGTTAACAATATGGGCAAATTTATATGATACTATTGATTATTAAGTTTTCACTTGGTAACTCGTTAGTGATTTCCTAATTCCGAGATATTTTTTTCTTCTTCGGTTGCTAGTTAAATAATATTTTATTATTTCTTTTCTTTCTTTTGGTATTCACCATTGATGAAGGCGATTCTTGAAAGGACACAACTTCTTGCCATGGTTCCGAAGAAAACGAGCTGTTGCTGAGCAAGAACAGTATAGATTGTGGAGGCAAGCTAGAATAAAAACCGACATACACGAATTGATAGGTAGAATGTCTGAAATAGAAATTGTTGATTCCTTCAATGCAATCGAGCGACACCTTTTAGGAGAAATCCAGGCAAGTTTTTTTTCTTTTCAAGCTCAAAGTTTTTTATTTCAATTTATATTTCTGTAGCAATCTTGTTTAAGGTACAGTTCAAATATATAACATGTTGTGATGCTGATACTTATTTATAGTGTTATCTTAAGAGTTACCTGCCTATAAAACATGGAGGATTATGTACTGTTTGTTACTGCTATAGATATATTACAAGTTGGAAAAAATTCTTGACAGCTTGTGGTTTCAATCTTTACTTTCCACACACATCTCCATATTTTTTTTAGTTGGTTGAAACATTTTTTACCATATGTTGATCTGCAATGCAAAAACACACAGGTTGCAAATTATGAATATTCATGAAGTTAAGGTTGCATTTTACACAGAAAAACACTAAAAAGTTGCAAAGTCCAAAATCACGTATAATACAATTTTCAAAAAATGTTTTACCCTTTTTTGGTTATTTTTCTAGGAATAGCATCCAGTAAGAATCAATATGCTATTTAAGAGCTTTTACGAAAAAAATTCTCGGATCACATGCAAGATGAAAAATGCACGTTCTGTGATTTAAATTATAGGATCAAAGGTGTGATAGCGGTTGTTATTATGATTATTATTATTTTATCATATTGTATACCCGCCATCCTGTAGATCTCTATATATTTTGCGTTATTTAATTACAATATCTCCCGATAAGCAGTATGGGAGAGCGAATGAAGATACTGAGGCAGTGTGCAAGAAACTGAGAAAGGATCTACAAACGGTCTTTAATGTTCTCCCAAAGGACATGCAACAGCTTTTGATTATGAATCCTGAGAAGGCCTCTTTATTGCAAGAATGTGGGCCCCACCTCACGGTTTCACCCGACAGATGACATGGCGAAGAAGAAACTACCGTTTTTCTAAAATTTGTCAACGGAAAGTGGGACAAAAAAAGTGGTGAATTTTATCATTATTATTATCCTCTTTGGCTCTTTCCATTATTGTTTGTTATTACTGGAAATCTTGATCATATGATCTATCCTGTTGAGGTTTCAGCAAAAATCTTGAATATTATTAGTCTGGTTTATATTTGCAGAGCTCGAGTTGTACATGAGGTCCGATTTTCGAGATGAGGACCAAGACAATGGAAGTTTAAGGCATGCATGAAGGTGATCGTTAAGTTTATCGAGAAAGTTTTGAACAGGTTTAAAGTGAAATGTGTCGGGTTTGCGAAAGTCTTCCTATGGATTCTCGTTTTCGTCAATGGCTGCTCTGAACGAGTTTCGTGCTTTACCTTGGCAATTCTGATATTTCTTTTGGTTGTGCAAGTGAAAATGCAAGTTAGATGATAAAAAAACGTGTAATTGGGAGTAAGATGTATTTTAGCATGTGATTGTTGTTTTTCATGTGAGCGAAATTTCCCCTCCAAGTGTAACATGTTAATAAAGCCAAGTTGTGAAAGATTTGTCTTCATCAAGAGTTTATTCTTTCACAATGGCTTTTGTCCTTTTTTTTTATTATTATTATAATTTGGCTTTAGCCTATATGACCCAAATTAATTCAATAATGATCTATTCAAAATAATAATTTGTGAGAAATCGGTTAATTGACCTGCGTGAAGAATCTACGATATTTTTTACCTGGTTACTTTACTAACGGAAACATTAATTTACCCATTATGTATCATAACACGTTGTCTCTTTCATACAAAACACAACTCGTGTCAATTTGTCCAGCTTTAATAAGAAAACTCTGTAATGTAATGTCAAGTGAGAATTTGCTGCAAATTACATCCATATGTAAGAACTACACGTCAGCAAAGTGAATCACTGGATTAACCCATAAATTTCATTTCCATAGATTATAATAACCCAAAGGCATCAATCAAGAAGTTCAGAACACCGACTTTACTCCGTAAACTGTTGACCGGAGATGATGAACGTATCTCGTTTCATCCATTACATAATCAAAACTGCTGGATGGCAAGCATCAATAAAATGCCCAAAAAAAAAAAAGAATACATGACTTTAACAAACACTCTTCAGTCTCAATTTGCAAGAGGATTTATAATGAACCAATATGCCACGAACCAATATGCTATGATAATGCAGTATAGTAAGCCCAGCTATGAGTATTTTCGCCCGCATCAATCATGATCGAGATTGAACTAAACTAAACTAAACTAAACACCACTTTTCTTACTTCTGAAGCTCTCCTTAAGCAACGTAAATTTCTTCTTGCACTGATTTACCGTTTTACCAGGAACAGCCGTGGCCACGCGCTCCCACCTTTGGTTAGTTTCTTTAGGGAAGGTTTTGAGGGCTTGGATCAATGCTTTCTCTTGAACTTCAGACCACACATCCACATCCGACCCAGATGATGTCCCATTCTCAGCCTCGATTTTAGCCGAACTATTTTTGCTGCTTTTCCCATCCGTAGCAGATGACTCATGAGAATCAGCATTACTAGTGCTGTTTGCAGCATTACCAGTTCTGAAGCTTTCCTTCATCAATGCGAATTTCTTCTTGCATTGCTCCACGGTTTTCCCTTGAACTGCAGCCGCAACTAATTCCCATCTCTGGCTAGTTTCTTTCGGGATGGTTTTCAGAGACTGGACGAGAGCTTTTTCCTGAGCAGCTGACCACAAATTATCTTGATCTGTACTACCATCATCCAAGCTTGAAATGTTTGCAGTTTGATGATTTGATGATGATTCGGGTAGATTGTCCGAGTCAACAGATCCATTCACACTATGCATGCTGCTCTTCAGATCCTCTCTAGTCGAAAGGGGAGATGCAATTGTTTGTGCTGGCTTCCTTTTCTCAAGGAAGGAGTCGAAGGCTTTGGCTGAATCAGGCTTCTGCAGCAGGACTGTTTTTGTGGCTTTAAGAATCTCTTCTACAGACCTTTTGGTGCCAATATACTCGGAAATCACCTCCCACCTTCGAGATGTCCCTTTAGGGTATTTCACCATGCCCTTCCTCAGAAGCTCGATCTCCTCTTTACTCCATGGTTTTTCCTTTTTCCCATTGCTGATGTAAGTAACTTGCTCGTGCCCAGCTACAGAACCATTCTGCTGAGAACTGTGCTCGTCTTTCTGCTTGAGATCGGATTCGAGTGTCTTTCTCAAAATCTCGGCACTTTCCAGAGCTTCCTTTCCTTCCATCTGCTCACATAAGGTTCTGAGCTGCACTTTATCAAGTGACGAACAAAGGCTCTCCACATGTTCATCCGTAAGGTCAAGCAAATGCTGGGACAAGACGGAAGCCGAAAGAGACCGGAGGTGGGCCCGCTCTTTCCGCAGCAGCTTTTTCTCCTTCTCCTTGGATTTTTTCTCGATAAGGGCAGCCTCAGCAGCTTTCTTTTTCTCCTCTTCTTTCTGCCGTCTTTCCTCTTCGGCAGCCCTAGCCGCCTCTTCCTCCTGCAATTTCTTAGCCAAAAGCTTCGCATCCTTCTTCCTCTGCTTCTCAGCTTTCTCTTCCTCTTTTCTCCTCAATATCCTCGGGTCACGCTTATAGGCGTTATCAACGAGGGTGCGTATTCGCACGTTCTCTTCCTTCCTCGCTTTCTCCGAAAGCTTTGCATTCTGCCTCTCCATCCACCTCTTGTGATCACGTGACTCAGCCTGCTCAAGGTCAAACTCGTCAGCATGCGGGAATTCCCTCCAGCTCTTGAAGCTATACCAAAAATTGTAAAAGCTGTCAACTTCTTTCAACGACGTATTATCATCCCCAAGCATTGGGATGGGTTGGGCCACCGACCAACGCCCATTCCTCATGAAAGCGGGCCCGAAAACCTTGAAGAAATCCTGAGGCGCGCAGTCCTGAGGGATCTCGTCATCAAACTCATCAGTCGAGTCGTATATTCTTCTCCTGACAGGGTCTATCAGAACCTCGTACGCTTCCTGAATGGCCTTGAAACGGGTTTCTATCTCGTCCTTCTTCGCTTGCTTGGCTGACTCGGTTTCCTCGGAAAGCAAAAGGGCAGCCTGCTTGTCTGGATGGTGTCTCAGAGCAGCTTCACGGTAACTTTTCCGAATCTGGTCCTCGGTGGCTAGATACCTCAAGTGACTCAAACCCAATAATGCATAATGATCCTGTTCACCGCCGCTAGTTTTCTTCTTTCCTTTACTGCTGTACGAGTCGGATGATTCCACGTATACACGTTCTTTCCCACTTGGAGCTTCCTTATCAGTATTATCATCTTCTGTGTCCACCTCTGCCGAGTGGCCAACCGACCTAAGAGCAGCCGAGTGGAAAGCATGCCCAGCTGGTTCGAGATTCAGTGCCTTGACCGGAAGGCAGTTGGATGATACATTTATTGGCTTGCCATCCACAATTTCTTCAGAGTATGTAATTAAAAGCATGCAATGCCTAGATTCCGCAGCCATTACTAACCAGAGAAGGAAAATACAAAGAAACTATGTCTGTCAGTAGATGAACAATACACAAACACAGACAATCAAAAACAAGGAAAATGAAATAAACACTGAACACATAAAGCCATTGGACGATAACCAGTCAAATTGGAAGATGAAGGCCTGGTAAGAACATATTCAAGAAAGTGACCAGCATTTTGGCCTATTACAACAGGTTCACTTGCATGTGCATCAATGAGTTACAAAATCAGTAATTACCGATTGAACGTCATACTTGAGCCATACAGTTCGATAAACAGATATCATTTGTGAGTTGCCACTGATCATCGTTCAGATGAAAACGAAAATGGATACGAAGGCTAATCCAGGAATCCGATAAATAAAAAGAGAATCGAAAATTCAGGTTTCAACAGAACACAGAGAGGACAAAATGAGAAAATAAAAAAGCATTCATACCGATAACTCGATCAAGCGCCGCTGCAGCGGCGGCGACTAAGGTGGCGGCGTCGCGGCGGTGAGGGAGTTGCGAAGGTGGTTCGTGAAGTGCAGTTTAGGGAAGAAGAGAACTTTCTTAAAGTAAAATCCCTTCTATTTATATTAATGTGAGACTTGGTCTATGAATCATTTTGCTAATTTGCATGCTTTTCAGTTTATTTTCTAAATGAAATTCATTTATTTAGAGGGGAAAATTTATCTTTAATACCGATTATAATTTCTAAAATAAGTTATTTATATACACCAAGACTTTTAAAAGTCTTAATTAAACGCACCAATATTTCTAAAGTCTTAATGAGTACACTCCATTAGTTTCATCATTCTAAAAATTAACCACTTTCTCTCCAAAGTAGTTATAATTTGAGGCCCAGTATCGTTGCCTCATGTGGCGGACTTCAATATATCGTATATCATTTTGAGCTCTTGAATGAAATATCCAACAATATACAATAGTTTTAAACTCGTCAAAGTTATTGCTAAAGGTTTAAAAAAAATTACGACCAAAACACGCTTTAAATTTTGATCGAGTGTGTTGCCGAAAATTATGCCTTTCGATTTTTGTGAAAAATATATACATGTATACAAAAATATTTTCATGAAAAATACAATGTATCTCTATATCATCAATCAAAGTCGATGGAAATCATATTTATGTATNAAAAAAAAAAAAAACACCAAAAACTCTACATCTCATGGTATTGGTTGACTGGAGGAGGCTGAAATTGCATGTTGAGGGCTTCCAAAAGTGGTGGTTCTAGGCACTATTGTAATGTAAGTGATGTTTTTAACGAATGTTGTTCAATAACGAGTTACAGGAACTCTGAACGGATGGTTGTAAATATACTTGGTTCTGAGGTAGTATATCGGAGAAGCTAGACCGTTTTATCATAAATGAAGCTTGGCTTAATACCAACATGAATGGTATGGCAGTGCACCTTCGTCGACTGAAATCAGATCATACCCCCATTGAAGCTTCCTCTATAAAACAGTCTAGCATCTTCGATATACCACCTCGAAACGAAGTATATTTACAACCATCCGTCTAGAGTTCCTGTAACTTATTATTGAACAACCATTCATAAAAAAACATCACCTACATTACAATAATGACTAGAACCACCACCTTTTTTGAAGGCCCTCAACATGTAATTCCAATCTCTTCCAATCGACCAAGGCCGTGATATATAGAGATATTAAATAAATTTATGTAATAAATAGGTAATTTTATTTTTTGTATAAAATTAAATTATATATTGATACTAATTAAAAATTAATAAATTATTTATCAATAAAAAAATTCATCTATAAATTCATTACATATAGATTAAAAGAATTATTTTAATATAAAATGGAAAAAAATCGTATTTTAAATATAAATAATAATACATTTTTTTCAAAAATATTTAGAATTTAATAAATCTTTTTTTATTTGTTTTACAATTTTTTTAAGCACCAAAATTAGTCCATTTTTATATTGGTGCGAGCCCCACAAAAAGCCTTCGCCTTAACCAGGACGACAAGAATCGGCGTCGCTTGCAAACCAGAAAAAAAGTTTCCTTTCACATTTCCTCTCTCTCTCTACGAATTCAATAAATTTCTATCATCTCTCAGCTGCTGTATTCAACAGATAACGCGAAAATTCGATATCAATTGTATGACTTACTTAATTTAGGTCCCAAAAGGCCAAAACCCAAGGGAAAGGAAAGAGAAAAAAAAGAAGGGAAAAGGAAAAGTATTATCTATAAAAGGGTACCGGAGGCTGCGATGCAGAGGGCTGTTGACAATCTTCTGGCTGTCACCAAGGAGTAAGTTGCATAGCTTTTTCTCTCGTGTATTGGGCCTCTAATATCGTGGTGTTTTTACTTTTTAATGTAGAGCATCTGAATATTTGCTGATGATTGTGATTTGATCAGTAGTTAGTTGCCCGTTTAGTTGGCATATATATATGTTGATAGGCTGACATTCATCACCTTGCTGAAGATTTTTTGTAGTGTATAGATTTTTTCGCAGCTTCCTTGTCCGAGAAAGTTATTATACTTTTCAATTGTTATATGTATTTATATAACACATCAATTGATTAGAACTTCAATTGTTTTTCTTGTTGATACGAATTGTCAGGTCAGTGAAGACGGTCACTTACGAAGCACTAAACAATGTTGTAAGATTAATAAATGGTGTTTCAGCATTGTTATTGGCCCTGTTGCCTGGAAAAGCTTCTATTCTTGAAGGCATTCAGGGTTGGGAGCTCAGACCAACTTTCCGTGGACCTAGACTTCCACGCTGGATGGAGAAGTAGGTTTTTATTTTTTATTTTTTTCTCTATAGTACATTTTTTAGCATTGCCAGTATTTATCTACTGATTGTTGTTTTAACTTTGATTGTTTCACTGGTACTAAGGCATGCAGAATATGTAACATTTTTTTCACAAGTGCAGATTCCTTCTCTTCTGAGTCACGACTGTATAAAATATTGTTTGAGATGATGCTGATTATAGAGCCTTTTATGATTGGTTATGCTTGCTTGTGGCTATATTGTACGTTGCATTCTGGAAAATGATATGCCATGGGGTGTATTTTTGTGTTTTTTTTTACTAACTTCTAATCCCTCAGTCTTCTTAAACGTTCTGTTTATCTCTTCAAATTCATCTTTTAAGATATGTCATTTGTCCTGCTAAACAAATTATACTTCTAATTTGGTGCATGACAAGAAATTCGGTTTATGACGCTTTATATACATATGCAGTGGCGTATCATCTTTCAATCAGGTCATCCACAAACTCTCTGTCGATTCCGATTTATCTACGAGCGTAGATTATTCATCTGATGGTGAAGATAGTAGTGGTATTTATCCTGGATCTCCTTTATCACAAATTTCTCGTGTCTTGAGGGAAAGCAATTTCATCAAACTCAAAAGAACTTGGGTATACTGGATCATATGTATACTGTCATGGATTCTATTTCCTGTGAAATTCTTTTTCAGCATTCCATATTATATATATGCTTCGGCTTTCCACAAGGCTTCTGAATCCCCTGTTAAGACAGGAAAACAACATCATTCGGTTGCACGTTCTCCGAGAAGGCTGCAAGCTTTTGTTCAGCGGGCCACTGACCGTAGGCGTGGAATTGTTGAGGTCTGTTCATTTCAATCTATTTTATATCCGGATGATTATTGGATCATAATTTTGCTATTGCTGAGTGCTGATAAGAATATGTATGCTCTCAGATCAAAAGAAATATGAAATCTAATGTCTTTCAATGAAAGTTTTGAAATAACACCGTCCTAAAAATTTCTGCTCCTGAACTCTCGGCTTAGCAATGTTTTTGAACCTTAAAAAATTCAAATATAGGTATGTGAATTTTAAATAAAGAAAATTGTGCATGCCTTCAAACAGAGATATGTAAATATACCAATTGTATAGGATCAAGTCATGATCGGTACTCTTGTAGATAGCATTTACATAGCTATAGGATGTAAATACCTGAAAATTTACTTAGGGCGTGTTTGTATACAAATATATCCGCTCAAAAACGAGTTTTTTTAGTTAATCATGGTTAATTTTAAAAAAGTTGGTATGGTTAGTTGTTAGTGGAATTTGGGATTTATATTAAAATAATATTTAAAATAAAATAACTAGAAAGTTAATTTGATGTAAAAGTATGGGAGAGATGATGTGAACTGTGAAGTGTGAAGTATGGTTGGTTAAAATTATGCGAGTGGATTAAAAATGAATTAAAGTCGATGTGATATGTAAGAATGATTGGTTGACATTATTTAATTATATTGATAATATTGAGGATAGTGGGGTTGGGTTAAAGTTGAGTCAGATTTTGAGTATGAATTGAGTGTGAGTTGAAATAATTGATAAACAAACACAACCTTAACTTTTTTATAGGACCTCCACTTAGCAATTGAGGTGTTCATAGAATCCGCATTTGATGTTGTTCACAAGGCTGCCCAGTGTCTTCTAGCACCTATAGACACGACTAAAAGAGTATTTTGGTGGGTTTCTTCACGAATAAGTGGCGATGAAGAGGTTATGTCTGAGGGTTATGTCAAGACTTCTGTTCTAGCAGATGATAGTCCAACTCCTGTGGAGAGAAAAACGAGTTTTAACAATTCGCTCAATACAGATGCACGGACATGTAAAGATGTCATTACAGAGCTAGGGTATGAAAGTTCTGTTATTCTTTTCTTCTCTCGTGCTATATAATGGACTTTAACGTTGAAAAGGATATGATTTGCCATCTGTTAACATCCGCTGAAAAGTTTTATGCTTACAAGTTCAAGGTGCTTGTGTTTTTGGTTGGTTGTTTGAGCTCAAATGATATTAATGTCAAGCAAACACATTTGTTTTCCATGATTTTCTGGACTAGTTGTGAACTGAGGTCGTTGATAATATTTTTTTATGAAGTTTGTTGCCTTAATTTTTTCCTGCGCCTCTTTCTATCGAAATACGTTAGATCTTGGTTTTGACGTGCATCCA